GCACACCATAAAGTGCTTTGTGATCTCTTGCATTTCCTCAGAGTTGAAGAGAGTGTTGAAACAGAGCTTGTCTGCAAGAAATAAGAAGAAAATTAGAGCTAGAGAACCAAAATCAAATGATGATGCACCTTTGACAATGAACTTGAGCATTGACGTCTCTTACTATTCCAGGCAGGGCAGATGAGCCCCCCCCCCCCAATCACTTTATCCCAGAGGCAACCAAGGCCTCATTCCCCATCCTGAGTTCAGAATTCTCGGTCCAAGTATGTTTCCTGTTACTCCAACACTAAAGCATTTCAGGACTGTTGAAACCTATGCTGCTTTCCACACGGAATATGGAAGATTCTCAGCCACCACAGTTATCGTTATCCCAAAGGTGCTTTTTTCAAAAGGCAACTGGACTTTCTTTGTTTTGCTTTATCATAGAAGCTTTTTCAGTCAGAGGTCAGAACTCATCTTGGATGAGAAGCTAAAGGTCTTCAAGCAAAATAAAAAGTCCAGCTGCCTTTTGAAAAAAAGCATATTTGGGTTCCATGTGGAATAAAAGTGGAGCAAAGATAATGGTTATTTATTAATGCCTTTACAACACTTTGCAATTCAGTTATCATCTCTTCCAAGGTGACTCAGATTCAGCCCATTCCAGTGTTTCCTGCACAGAGGCCTGGCAACAATTGGCAACCTCCTCAAGGCAAGTAGAGATTATCTGGCATGCCAGCCAATCTGCTCTATTCAATAGAGGTTCCACCTCAGCTGAGGAACTGGAAGGAGCACTCAGACTGAAGGAGCTTTGACTGGCTGGCCTCTCTCCCGTTGCCTGTCTTTGCCTGCAGAGGACTCCCATGCGGAAAGGGGCCGATCTAAGCCTGGGCAGTCAAAGAGGAGAGCTGGACTCCAAGAAAGAAGGGTAAAGAAACACCACTGGCTGCCTCTGGACCTTCAGCTTCAGCTCATCTTCCCACCTCCTTCCTGTCCATGCAGCTTCCTTCTTTCTAGGCCATGGGGATGGTGGCCCTGGCTAGCTTGCAGGCTGTCTTAGTTAGTTTTCAGGGGATTCAGGCGTTTGCAAGCTTTTTTAGTCAACTTGTGGAAACACAGCCAATGTTTTAACTGTCTCCTGAACTAAGAGTAGGAAAAAGAACTCCCTTTCAGCATCTTCTGCATTTATCTCCTCCTCTGTAGAACAGGCCGAGGCTAAGGCCATAAAGAAAAGTTGTGTGGTTTTTTGTTTTTGCTATATTCATACAGCCAAAGTACTTAATACATTTTCTGGATTCACATTATGCTGTGAATCAAAATTAACCCAAACTATTGGGTCTGCGCACTAGGTTATGCCATCAGAACTAAACCTTTTCAATGGCACTGAAAAACTTGGCACATCAGCAAATGTCAACAAAATGGCTGCCTTGTCACTGACCACATTGATCACCTGTCCTTCTGGTAGCCAAGCACAAATAGCCAGTTTGCAAGCCAGGCACAACAGAGTCAGGTTTAGGAAAAATGGGGGTCTAGCCTGCCCTCCACAACCAGAATTAAAAGTGACCCACTTACGATTGAGCCCCACATCATGGTAAGTCAGGAGGGCTGGGCGGTTCCCTCTGGCGGATCCCCGAAGGACGACGTGCAGCAGTCCGTAGGGTGTCTCGATGTCATGCTCCTG